GTAAATGTAGAGGAACAGAAGTCATATTTTCAAAGCACCACCACAGAAAGTCACACATGATTTATCTTTGTATGATATTCAGTTAGTGAACAAATAAGATTCTGTGGCTTTGAATTGCAGATAAAAATTTCTGCGCGTCCCTTCTCTGGAATTGCTGTTGAGTAATATGTATAAAGAGTTATATATTCCTCAAAAAAGTATGTGTTTATAAAAGATTGCTTCTTTCAAGTTAGAATTGGTGACATTTTTCTAAAATGATGACACCATTCTAAAAGCTTCATAAAGATGTATTCATATTTTTTTCTATTTTACTCAAAATACTTGTTTTTTAAGAATTCTAGCAGCGGTTTTTCTTCTTTGAAAAACTTGCCCATGGCTGGTCTTTCTGCTATGAATCTTCTCTCTTTTCTGGATAATAAACTTTGTTTTAAAACTTTGCTAGCCGCTCTGAAATTCCTTTTAAAACGAGCCAAAGAATTCATGCTTTTTGTCCTACACCCCACCTGGCATCATCTGGTGCCCAATGTGCCGGGCCTGAAGGTCAGCATTTGCTGGCACCAGGTGGTCTGTAAATATGTGGCACCAGCTTTTATCTCTCTTCTCTCTCTCTCTCTCTCTCTTTTCAGCTTCTTTAAAAAACTTGCCCATGGCAGATCTTTCTACCATGAATCTTTCTTCTTTCTTCCTCTCTCTTTTCTCGCTAATGAACTTTGTTTTAAAATAAAAAAAAAAAAGAATTCTATCGTACACAGCAGCATTTCTAAAGTAAACATAGTAAAACAGAAATTTTCCTTGTTCTTCTCTTTCAAAAAATGCTCTTATGCTTAATGCAAAGACAGTACAAGTGACTCCAAATCTTCTTGCTATGGGAGACAATACTAGCAATTAAGAATCATGGCTCTGGAATTGACTTTGGTTTGACACTCACTTCCAGCACTTCCCAAATGTGTGACCAGAGCACAATAGTCTTGCAAAGCCTCAGTTTCCTCATCTCTAAAAGAGGGATAACAATAGTCTCTACCTTCTAGAGCTGTGTAAGGATTGAATAAAATGAGGTGACTTAATATCTAATGTGTAGTAAACACTCAACCAGTGATCACTTTAATTATCTGTGTGGCATGAGCTGGGTGGGGAAAGAGAGAGGAACTGGGTTCTTCTCATTTATTGTTTGGGTGGAAGAAAGAGTCTTGGGTTTTGAATCTAGAAAACTGGTTCTGTCACAAACCAGCTATATGATTCTGGGTAAACCAACTTTGTTTGAGTCTGTTCCCTCATTTATTAAACAAGATAAAAGCCAATATTAATTGAACACCCATGGGTCAGGCTTGTGTATTAAATAGCTTATTCCTTCATGGAGTACCAGTACATGGAGTAGCTGACACTCAGGGAGATTAAATACTTACCCAAGGGCACAAAGCAAGTACAAGGCAGGCCAGGACTCAGATCTGGGCAGCCTGGCTCCAAAGGCCAGGTTTGGGGCTAGGAAATGGAGCCATTTACATCTATGCTCAGCATCACAGACCTTAGACCCAGCACATTTGTGTCTCAGAGACCTTAGGGACACAGGCCTGCTCAGCCCCTCCTAATTTACAAATAGCAGACACTAGGCCTAAACAGGATAAGGAACTTATGTAGGGTCACTAATCAGTGGCCTGAATGAACCGAGAACCCAGGCCTCAGGAACCTTCCAGCCCAGAGTCTCAAAGGTCTGTCTCTGAGAATGTTTTCAAAAACAAAAAATTGCCCTTGTACTGTCAATTTGCCTGTGGGTAATGGTTCCCACCTTAGTTTGGCCACAGTCTTACTTTCCTTATATGTACTAGTGTCTTTGTCAGTTTGGGCTGCCATAACAAAATATCATAGACTGATATGATATGATATATGATATAGACTGAGTGTTTTATAAACAACAGAAATTTCTCTCAGTTTTGGGGGCTGAAGTTCTGAGATCTGGGTACCAACACGGTTGGTTTCTGTTGAGGGCCCTCTACCAGGTGGCAGACTACCAACTTTTTGTACCCTCATACAGCAGAAAGAGGGCGAGAGAGCTCCTAGGAGTCTCTCTCATAAGAGCATTAATCCCATTCATGAGGGTCCTACTCTCATTTACCTAATTACCTCTCAAAGGCCCCACCTCCTAATGCCATTATACTAGGGATTAGATTTCAATAAATAAATTTGGAGGACACAAAAATCCAGCCCATTGCAACCTGGACATTCAGGGAGCTTGGCCCCGGTCCCTGGTTTGTTGCCAGGCCTTCACTGGCTGCAGCCAACAGCTGATAGGAGGCCCCAGAGAGTCTGAATGTGTCTCCTGCTCACAAATACAAGACAGGAACACACTGGAGTACTCCTGCATGTTCCTCTAGAGAAAAGGGTGCTCTTTTCAGACCCTAAGCCTGGTGGAGTTTGTGCGAGCCAGTTCCTATGGCCTCTTGCTCTGTACTGAAGAAGGACAGGCATGAATAGAAACTGGTGCTCAGAGTGGAAGAAAGAGGTCCCAAGTTTGCTGGCATCTCCATCTACCAGTGTGCCTCTGAATATGGTACTTTAAAAAATGGGTGATATTTGAACCGGGCACTGTGGCTCACACCTGTAATCCCAGCACTTTGGGAGGCAGAGGCGAGAGGATTGCCTGAGCCTGTGGGTTCGAAACCAGCCTGGGCAACATGGTGATACCTCATCTCTACGATAAATAAAAAATTAACTGGGTGTGGAGGCACACACCTGTAGTTCTAGCTACTTGGAAGGCTGAGGCAGAAGGATCACCTGAGCCCAGCAGGTTTAGGCTGCGGTGGCTGTGAGCCTGGGGGATAGAGACTCTGACTCACAAAAAAAAAAAAAGGATGATATTTGTTTAAAAAGAGGTGGCTGTGGAAACCTCTTGTGCTCTGCATTTTTCCACTAGGACTCTCTTGATCTTGACTCTGTTTCAATTCCTCAGGAGAACTGGAATATCTCTGCAGTGGTTCTCTGTGATCAGAGGATCTCTTATTTTTAACAGATCCATGTGGTAAAAATGATTTTAATAATAATACCAAGATGTTATGTACCTTTTTTTTTTTCTGAGTCAAGGTCTCACTCAGTCATTCAGGCTGCAGTACAGTGGTGCAATCACGGTTCACCACAGCCTCGAACTCCTGAGTATTCAAAGCAATCCTGCCTCAGCCTCCTGAGTAGCTGGGACTACAGGTGTGGGCCACCATGCCTGGCTAATTAAAAATTTTTTTTTGTGGAGATGAGGTCTTGCTATGTTGCCCAGATTGGTCCCAAACTCTTGGGCTCCTCCTCCTGCCTCAACCTTCCAAAGTGCTGGGATTACAGGTGTGAGCCATGGGCCTGTTATGTGCCTTTTTTCACCTCATTCTCTCTGGAATTTTCCAGAGGCTTTGTGGTGTGTGATTTTGCAACAGACTGAATGCAGAGATGAGAATCCAGCCGTCTACTATTAAACCAGATATGACAGAGATTTGGAAAACTGTAAGAAGTATTCACTCTTATGGAAAATTTTCATCTAAGTGTTATTTATGTTAAGCATGTTTTCCATGAAAGAGTGCCTACACTTAGATTCTGTGTTTAGGGGTAAAAGGAACTGGTCCACACTACAAGGAAATCAGTATATTCATCCATCAATCTGCCAGGTGGTCTGGCTTCCAGCTAAGGTTCCCCTCTCTCCTCAGGCAAGTTGTCTCTCTGCTCCACAGGGCACCGGACTGTTCCCAAGGGCCCTCTGGTTTCAGGTTATTATGAAGCTTTAAGGTGTCTTCTCCCATCAGACCTGGGAGTTCCCTACAGGTGAAGGCTCCCTTCCCTTCCCCAGTATGATGTCTTCTGAACATTAGTGAAGTGGGGACCATGTCTACCAAACAGCACTGTAGGGAGATCTGGCTAAGATAGTAAATGTGAAGGCACGTTGAAAACTGAACAGCACTAGATACATGTAAATTTTAACAAAGGGCTAAAAAACTAAGCATAGATATGGACACAGCATACAAAAGGCAAGACAATCAACATCTCAAATGAAGTCACTTGTAAAAGTATTCTGGGACTTTATTAATTTATACTTCTTGAAAAAAAGAACCATATGCCTGTGAATACAAACATCTTAATGGACCAGAAGCAATCCAGGTCTATGGCATGAGCTCAGGAATTTATAATAACTCCTTATTTAAAACACATTTGATTTTTCCCTAATTATCAAAATAACATGTGGTCATTGTAGAAAAGTTGAGAAACATGGAAAAGCATAAAAAGGACAATAAAAATCACCCATAATTCTACCACCCAGAGATAACTGTTAATGTTTTTGGTATATGTCTCCTCTGCTTTTACAAAAGAAATTCCTGCATATGTTTTACATGATTGATTTCATGCTCAATATGCAGTTTGTGTCCTGCTTTTTTCACTTAACACGCATAGGGAACATTTTCCCACACTACAAATTCTTTGTAAATATGAGAGTAATGGCCACTTTCCGGTTCAGCCTCAAGCCTGAGGACTGAGTGGTCACAGCAAGCATACTGCTACCTGGGTGGAAAAAGTAAAGAAGATGCAGAGAAAGCACAAGGGAAGAGATGCGAGTCCACAATGCCAGTAACTCAGGGGATGAGCACCTCCCGGGAAGGGAGTTCCAGCCCTGAGAAGGTTTCTTCTAAAAGTAGGGATTGTTCCGCTTTGCCAGGGACAGGCTGGCAGATTCCATGCATCTGACATCAGACCAAGTCAACATCAATGTCAGGAGGCCCTGACATGAAGGTCAGCCAGGATACAAAGTGTTTCTAAACTGATCATGACAGTCAGTAGAAAACACAATCCTATTTGCTCAATGGCCAGTTACACACACCTTTCCAGGTGCACAGGTTAGCCGGAGTCAGGATCCCCTGGTAAGAAACTACTCTGAGTGGCTTTAAGTTTTTAGTCCTGTGACTGAATGGGGGTGTCAAAAAACAAAAATAAATGATAAAAAAAAGAAAAAGAAAAAAAGAAATCACCCCTGAATGGTTGGTAAAGATAGCACTTTAAAATCACCTGGGGCCTTCATGTCACCAGCAGTCCCAGCCTTTGCTGGGCTGTTCATGTTGGTGTGGAATTGGCTAAAAGAAAGGAGAGAGAGGAGAAGGGCGGGGGGTGCCCCAAGTGTAGTTTTATGAGAACCGGATTTTCAAGTTCAAAGTGCTGCTAGCTTTTTTCCTCTGGAGAGCGCTCATTACATCATGGGGTAAGCGATGACGAAATAGCTCAGCTCTGAATCGATCAACCTTCTGTACTTCCTGTAAATTTCCCGCAGGGTCCTGTCCTCTTCATTTGTCTCATATCTGTTTGTATAAATTCTCACCTGAGCCAACAGAGAAACATACCCAAATGACCTAAATGTACAATTGTTGGCAGAATTAGGAAAAGCCCAAACCCAAGGTAAAGAAGACAGCTCTACATTCCCTTCTGTGAAACTGCTAATTTCCAATGAGTGTCCCCTACTGCCTCATCTCCGAACTTCATCCCAGAGCAGAGCACCATTCTGCTCTGTTCCTGTTGAACTGGCCTGGGGCTCTTACCTTGAGTGTGCGCAGGGCACACTGCCCCTCTTCCTGACTCTTCAGGATCCGTTCCACAAATTTAACATCAAGGAAAGCCCAGATTTTGAAGTAAAACAACTTCCTGCAGGATAAGATGAGGAGGTGCAGTTCCTCGTCAAGCGACTCTTGGTTGTTGTTGAATTCAAAAGTTAATTTCTGGAAAAGCACCGAAGCGGAGGATGTGTGTTGGTGGAGATGATGCGTCATTCCATAACATTTCCATGACCTGGCTTTGGGGGCTTTTTAGATAAGGGACACTGAACAGAGGAAGAGATTTGAGAATGATGATGATCTCAACCAAGTTTGCAAAACTTGGAATTTGGAAGCAGGATTCTTGGAGTCCAGGGACAAGATCCTTGTCCCAGCCCTGCAGTGGGCCAGCTGGGTGACTGAGGGCTCGCCACCAAACCTCAAGTTCTTCTGTAGCATGGAAAGGTCATGATGATGTCTGCCCTGCCCACCTCAAGGTTATGTGGGTATCAAATGAGGTATTAGCACCTTCTAGTTCATCCATGTTTGTAGTGGTATATATATACCCATTAATATTAGTCATTATAACTGCTGTGAGATTATTAGGAGAGACAAAATGATCCTGATCTTAAGTGTAGGAAACCTGACAGATTAGAGAACAGCCCAGAACCCCTGAACTCTTTGGTTGCCTAAGTCAAATTTGGCTTTTCATTTGGTTTGGTCCTCCCCATTCTATCTTCCCAATTACCAGGCACTGCTGTAACCAGACAGGTCCCTTGTGAGAGCTGACCACAGGAGTCACAGGGTCTCCTGCATGCTGCTGTGATCTGGTAGAAAGGTAGGAAGGAGTTTGCCCAACTGCTATTTACCTCAAGGCACCTTCTGTTTCAGGTTTCATGGCTCTGAGCTGGGGATTTAGAGGCTTTCTTTGGTTGACAGCCAACCAGAAAATTCCTTGTATCTGTACCACATGGGGGAAATGGGCAGCAGCTTCTGTTGTCTACTGTGATCTTAGGGGGAGGGGAGGAGGCTTAGATTGGTAACGTTTCCTAGAACCTCAATTTGAGGTTGAGTGAGTACGTGGGAGCCCAGCCAGGAACAGGCAGCAATGGGCATTCCCCTGGGGAAGCCAGTCTCCTGAGCAGCAGTTGGTCCTTCCAAGTCTTACTTACCTGCAGGGTGTGCCGAAAGGTGGGCAGGAGATCCATGAGAGTGGGCCGCATGGACCAGTCGGGGTCACTGAAATAACAGCTTCTCAAACTGATGCTTCTGACTGGGATCTCCTGCAAGAGGATCCGGGCCAAGCGCTCATACTTCATGACTCGCTCAAAGAAGAAGTTCACCTTCAGGTTGGAAGCCTGACTGGCTAACTTGGCCCAGGACATGCCCCAGACAACCTGTCCGTGGGGGTCATGGATGTGGCATTTGATGTTTATGGTCCTGAGAGTACTGCCACTGTTCTCACACAAGGTCTCCAGCAGCTCGTCAGAGATACAGTTGTAGTTGAGGGTCAGCAATGCCAGATTGTGGAACGTGGCCATGGTGTTGTTGAACTGAGGGCTGCTGTAGATGGCAAGGTGATGGCTGAAGTAATCCTCAATGTTGAGCTCTGAAATCATGTTCTTGTTCCTCAGGTAGCTCAGGGAGTTGAGAACATGGCAGCCTTGCTCCAAGGTCATCCTGGCCCCTTTGAGGTTGAGGTGATCTAGGTACTTGCCCATTTTCTTTAAGAAGAAACTAAAGCTCTTGATGAATGAGCTCCTGATGCTGTTCCTCCATACCAGGCGGTCCAGCTCCAGGTGCTGGATGGAAAGATATTTCAGACGGTTGTTGCTCTTGCCCAGACATGAGAGAAGGCCTCGCATGGTGACCTGGAACTTCTTGGTCAAGACCGTGTTGTAAGGGTTCAGGAATTTGATCTCCAGATGTTCCAGATAACGACCAAATTTTTTAACGTACCAAAGAGCCGACTGGAATTCAGAAGCATGTACCCTGGAAGGTCTCCCGGTGAAGGTTATGGTCCTGTACCGCCAGAGGACAGCTGAATACATCATCTGGTTCCATTTTCTGCAGACAAGGGCCGCCCTGGACCTGTCCTTGTCTCCCAACCACCAGAAAACACGGTGCAGGCACACATCGGGCAGACTGGCCCAGCAGCTCTGGTCTTGGGGCTGAATTGGTTCGCTTTCTTCATCCATCAAGAACTGCGATGTACAGTGTGACCGTGTGGTAGGCAGGGCTTCCAAAAATGAAGAAAGAAAAGCAATCACTTGTTTTCTGTGGGGAGTAAAAAGAAAGAGCTGTTACCTGACAAATAAAAATTAAACTCAAATGTACGTGCTTCCCCTGTGTTCCCATATGTATGAGGCACTGTGCTAGGTGGAGGAGGTTCAATGATAAGTTAATGATACAGTCCACACCAAGTAGGATGTCACAGTCTCTGGACACAGACCAATACCGAATTACAACATGGTGAGAGAAGTGGAAAGCTTCTGGTGTACTCATGGTATAGGGTAGCCCATATGGAGGGTGATTCCTTCCGCCTGGGTAAGGAGGAAATAGAAAAAGCTGCTTAGAGGAGGTGATGTCTGAGCTGGGTTTTGAAGGGTAGGGTAGAATTTGGAAGGCAGACAAGGTTGGCCTAGTAATGGTGGTAAAGGAACTGACTCATTCTATGCAGAGAAACAATATGTGCACAGCCACAGAATTGTGAATGTGTATGATGTGTTCACATTCAGGGAACTAAAATTGTTTGGTTACCAGAGTATGAATTTTACTTGGGCAGGGAGTGAAGGAACTGGATCCTGGGAGGTGTTGGGTCATGGGTGATGTGTGATAAAGTCTGAGCGATGTGATAAAGACTATGTCCTAGAGGCCAGGGAGTCCCATTGCCTTGTCTCCCCAAGATCTAGGAATTCTGACATGGCCTGCCCTCTTTGCTGGAGGAGAGTCACTGTGTGAACTGAGCTACATTGCTGATGGCTGCATTTACATCCAAGAGGTAGAGCAGCAGAACCAGGGCAGAAATCCTCAGCTGAGGTCGTGGAAAGCCATGAAGCCTGAAGGGAAGTCTTGAGGTATAGAAAGGACACTCTCATAAATAGAGGAAGGATAGTAAGGAGCAGAGTCCAGGCATCATGGTGGGAATGGAGATTGATTTGTGAGTATCTCAGAGGACATGATTTGGTAACTGGTGAAGGCAGAAGCGGGAAGGTCTAACTCAGCTGTTGGACTATAGGTGAGACCACCAGCCCCCTAGGGAGTCCCAGGGGAGGGCTTAGCTAGGGCCTACCTGATACATGAAGCCATGGGTCAGAATTTTTATAGCCTTCTACTGAAATTTTCACAACTTTTCGCTTTCAAAGTTTCCTGTGCCTGAAAACTCTTGTTTTCTTTGCCTCTCCCATTCACCTCCCTCCATCCTTCAGTGTTCAAACCCTACCCCTCCATAAAACTGGCTCATACCTACAAGCCCAGCAATTTGGGAGACTGAGGTGATAGGATTCCCTGAACCCATGGGTTTGAGACCAGCCTGAGCAACTTGGCGAGACCTCATCTCTACAATGTATCAAAAAATTAGCATGCTCCTGTAGTTCCAGCTACTTAAAAGTTTGAGGCTGAAGGATCGCCTGAGTCCAGCAGGTTGAGGCTGCGGTGGCGGGGAGCATGCCACTGCACTCCAGCCTGGGTGACAGAGTGAGACTCTGACTCAAAACAAAACAAAACAAGACAAAAAACAAAAAACTTTTATTGGCTACTTTACCCAGGAAGCCTGAGTATTGATCGTAGATCATAAACTTGCAGAACTAGACAGAGCCCTGAGAATTGATTTCTTTTCAGACAGACACTGAGGTCCAGAGAAGTGAAGGGACTCACAAAGCAAATTAGTAACAGGGTCCATATTTGACTCTTTCTCCTGTACTTTTTCCCTACCCTCACTTCTTAGGCCTCAGGTGCAAAGGGGCAAATTAATCATATTTCTCAATTGAGGACAGACATTATTTTTGTGTGCAAACCCCCTCTGGTTTTATTTATTCATTTATTCCTTTTAATCCTCTGTCCCATTCCATTGGCCCCACCACAAGCAACCTCTCCAGTGTGTTGGATGTACATCCTGTTTGCATGTCTACTTGCCAAGTGTGTATTTAATGTTCGTAATATTCATTCATGTGACTCTGTGTACGTTTCATTCATGGTATCTGTCAGCTGAACAGATCCCATAGAGGGTATCACACCTGTCTCCCACCCTTTCTGTTCTGTGATGGACCCCAGCCTCCTCTAGCTCTCACCCACACTACAGTGGCAATAAGTATCCTCGGGTGAGCCGATGTGGGCCTTCCTAGGGACCCTTTCCAGGCCTCTGTCCTCACTACCCCATCCCTATCCCTCACTGCCGACTCCAAAATTTGGCACCTGTCTCCAGTAGGCCACCTTATCTCCAGATCTGGACAGACTTTCACAAGTTTTTGGGCTGCGGCCCCCCCCCCAATCCCCCAAGGACATCCTTAGCTTTCCTTCCCTGGATGGCAGCTGTATGATTTGGTGGACCAAGCCTGCCCCCACCCATCGCACAGGACCCCAGTCACTTCCATATTCAGCCTGCTCCCCCCTTCTACCCCCTCTTGCCAGTGTTCATCTCTTTGTATAATCTGCATCCTTACCTTTCTTTCCCAAGGGACCCACACACTCCTTGAGGCTAGGGACATCTCATTCTGCTTTTGAGAAGGTACTTAAACAATTAACAAATGAAAAACTAGGGTTGTCTTTTAGATCACTTGCCAACTGCCCAAGGCTAGGGGTTTCCACTGCCCTTGGCATCGGGCAAAGCTCCTAAAAGTTAAACCAACTTCAAAAGCTTCACAAACTCCTTGCCCCAGCAAAGTCATATAGGTCAGAAGACTCACCAGACGGGGAGGCTGGAAGGGTGAGTTTGGAAGAATATGTTTGGTGGGCCAGCAAAGTTGTTGCAAGGAACCTCCAAAGCATACATAATTACTGGGCACCTCCCTCCGCCCCCCAGTTCTTATTCAGAGGCGGTGTAGCTAGTGGGTTGGGGCCTAGCTGCTGTTGGGTAACCTTCGGCAAGTTTATTTCTTTGTGTTGCAGTACTCACGTCTGTAAACGGTAGTAATGGTACTCGTCCCCCCGTGTTGGGAGGATTAAATGTGCTGCTATATGGAAAACACCAGAGCAGGCCCTGGAAGTGTTGGCAGCTTTGGAAGTGTTGGCTGCCATTAGTGAGCTGGTGCCAAGATCAGGAAGATATGAATACACCCCATTTCACAAAAGGGGAAACGAAGGTATTGGAAGGTCAATAAATTTTCCGAGGGAGAACATGGAGTAAGAGGGAGATGGGATGCGAACCCAGGCTTGGTCCACCGACTCATACAGCTGCCAACCAGGGAAGGAAACCTAAGGATGTCCTACTCCCGTGGGGACGGGGGGCGGGGTGGGGTGGTGGCCCGGAAACTCCCGAGGCCATAGACACTCCCAAGGGGAGGCAGGTGAGGAGGGCAGCCCGCCTCCCCCGCGCGGG